ACAATATCGTACATTCTAGTGCGACTTTTGGGCATGGCCGAAAAATGAGGCTAAATGAATTGCTTGTAGTAGCTTTGCGAGAATTCAAGAAAGAGCAAATCTGTTCACAGCAGAGATAGACCAGTATTTTAGGATACTTATGTTCAAATTTCATCCAAAAATATCATTTTCTTCTCGGTCTAGAAAGGAAAACGCAATTTTGCGTGATGCCGTCAAAATCGGCCTAGATTTGTCTATGCGAAACATAGCCGTTGAAAGGCGCCCTCGCTTCGCGCGAGCTGAAAACGTGTCAGTTTCTGTATCTCGCCTAAAACTGTTTGGATTTCTTTCAAATTCGGCTGGTATGTTCACGAAAGCTCACAAAGTTACTGTATGAGTTTCCATGCTGATGTCATAATTAGTTATCGAGTTATTTACAATTGAAATGTCTTAATGAAAGCATAGATCTCTTACAACTTTCCAAAATAGAAGTTTACTTTCCTCCGAAACGAAAAAGTGCAACCGCCGAAAAAGGAAGTGGTGATATCCCTGAAAGGTCCTCAATAGGCGTATATAAAAGATTATGTCTATTTCATAATGTAAATCCCTAAATCTAACTTATCATTGCAATACCGCACATTAAAGAGGAATTTTTGGGCATGGCCGAAAATGAATAAAGATGAATTGCCTGTAACTTTACTAAATTTCAAGACAGAGCAAATCTGTTTACAGCAGAGATAGATACGTATGTCAGGATATTGTTGTCCAAGTTTCATCTAAAAATATTATTTCCTTCTCGGTCTAGAAAGGAAAACGCAATTTTGCGTGATGCGGTCAAAATCGACTTAGAATTGTCTCTGCGAAACATAGCCGTTTGAAGGCGACCCCGCTTTGCGCGAGCTTAAAACGTGTCGGTTTCCGTTACTCGTCTAAAACTGTTTGGATTTCTTTCAAATTCGGCTGGTATGACAGCTTACAAAGTTACTGTATGAGTTCCCATGCTGATGTCATTTATTGAGTTATGTTCAATTGAAATTTCTTCATGAAACCATACATCTCTCACAACTTTTGAAAATAGAAGTTTACATTCCCCCGAAACGAATAAGTGCAACAGCTGAAAAAGGAAGTGGTGATATCACTGAAAGGTCCTCAATCATTAGGCGTATATAAAAGATTGTTTATTTCATAATGTAAATCCCTAACTCTACCTTATCATTGCAATACCGCACATTACAGGGAAACTTTTGGGCATGGTCGAAAAATGAAGAAAGATGAATTGTCTACAACTTTACGAAAATTCAAGACAGAGCAAATCTGTTCACAGCAGAGATAGATACGTATGTCAGGATATTGTTGTCCAAGTTTCATCCAAAAATATTATTTCCTTCTCGGTCTAGAAATGAAAACGCAATTTTGCGTGATGCGGTCAAAATCGGCCTAGATTTGTCTATGTGAAACATAGCCGTTTGAAGGCGACCCCGCTTTGCGCGAGCTTAAAACGTGTCGGTTTGCGTTTTTCGCTTAAATCTTGAACGAATTTCTTTCAAATTCGGCTGATATATTCATGGAGGCTTATAAAGTTACTGTATAAATTCCCTATCTGATACCGTATTTGGTCATCGAGTTATTTTCAGTTGAAATTTGCGCCATGAAAGCATAGATTTCTCTAAACTTTTTAAAACAAAAGTTTACGTTCCTCAAGAAAGCTTGAGTGCAACCATGGAAAAAGTCCTGAACAGATTAAGGTTGTCCTTTTACCTCCAAACTGCACAGACCGTTCATTCTACAGTCGTTTTAGTCTTTACTCAGTCACTACAATTAACTAGAAGTACTGGGATTGTTAATGACAGGCGTGCGTTCAAGTATTATGGTGGGCTACATGATTTTGATGCTGTGTATTTGCAGTTCATGTATTGTACAAATGTATACTGACTTGAACTACACTGAAAATAAAAGTCTATTGAAACAAGAGTGAAAAGGTGTATTTTCAGCTTTAATA